AAAATTAAATACAATAAATGTTAAAATAATAAAAAAAATATTGTGGCTTTGCCAACCAACATTGTACAGAGTCAGTTTGGCAACCAACCCATGTCGGCAAAATAGCACCGCTCTGCTCTGTATCCTCCCACACTCTTAACCAGCAAAACATAAGAATGTGTATAATCTAGTGTGTGTGTGTGTGTGTGTGTGTGTGTGTGTGTGTGTGTATATGTATGTGTGTGTGTGTATAGGTATATATATATATATACATACATATAAAATCACAGCATTCTCATTTACAGTGATAACCTTACATTGCCACCGTGACTGGAGAACGTGTCCTCTGTAGTCCTCTTGGCCTCCTTCCTAAAATCTCTCAATATAGCTTTCCAAGGGGCTAACCCTCCCTGCCCCCCATGAAAACATTCCTTGCTTCTCATCAAACCAGATGGGGGTTCTAACCTTTGCATATACTATCCAAAATTAAAAAAAAAGACAATTTGGCTGGAATTTAATATCACTTACAGCAGAAGTAAAGGATAAAAATAAAACAATCGCTGAGTGGTCGGGATTTTTGGCAGAAGTGACATGCAAATCTCTTCTGCCAAAAAAATCTTCCTCTTTCCCCCAGTGTTATTTTTAGTTTCTGTGTACACTGTACGGTGCATGTGCATCATCAGGGGCCACCCAATGGTGAGGAGGACTTCAGAGAACCCGGGAGCATTGGTGGCGGAGACAGGCCCGGATTCACCACAAGTGGCGGCAGGGAGCAGAGGGGCGGCAGCATGGTGGAATCCCCCGACGTTCCGGGCGCCGAGCGGTAAGTCGTGCCTTCTACATTTAGTCCTGCTTTGGGAAGGCGGGACTATATGTAGTGTGAGGAAGCCGCTTGTTCGTTTACAAGTGATCGCTGCGATCACTTGTAAAATGTGTGCAGCCTGTCCGCCCCCCCCTCCTCCCCCTCCCGCACCTACCTCTCTCCTCTGGTTCCGTCCTCCCCCCGGCCGCCGAGTCTCTCCTCACTGGCCGCCGATGTGGGGAGCAGAGCGCCAGAGTTAAAACTAACCCTGCCTCTCCGTGTACACAGTGAGAGGAGAGAGCTGTGCTCTTCCCCTCTCACCTGTCACAGGAGTTCCAGCACAGCGCTGTGCTAGAACTCCTGTATTGGAGGTGACAGGGTCAATAAAGAGAACCTGTCACCTCCAAAGGCTATTAGCTAGCTCCTGTGTGATAGCAATAAAGTTAAGTGAAAAAATATTTTTATAAAAAATAAGAAATAATAATTAAATGAAAAAAATAAAAAGGTGATTAAAAAGTAAAAAATAAAAAGAACAAAGAGCACAATAACTACAAAAAATAAATAAACGATATTAAGATTAAAAAAATATAAAAAATAAAAAAAGTAGATAGGCTAAAAATTTAAAAAGTAAAAAAATGTATTAAATTAAAAACGTTAAAAAAACCCCGAAAGAAACAATGAAAAAAATAAAACGAACCCTGCCGCCCCTGCCATGCAATTGCCATTCTCCGTTGATGGGGGGCGGAGAGGGGGGTGCATTGCGGAACCTGGCCTTGGGGCGGCAGGGAGAGTAAATCCGGCCCTGGGCGGTGATGGTGGTGGACAGCACTGAGAATGGAAGACTGACCCAACAGCGCTGGAGAAGGGCTCACTCGCGTTAATGTGCTTTGTGTTCACTATACCACCTTAAGGGAAATATACTACCAGGTATTTAAACCTGAGAGGACATCAATATATCAGCTGCGGGAGAAAATCGTTTTTTTAATATCTTCTTCACTGTCCAGTTTAATGTTTTGGAATATATTTTATTTGGCAGAAATGTTAATTTCCTCTTTCTGTAGGAATACTTGTCCTGGCTCTAGACTAAGAGTGTGGCACATATTGACTATATTAGGTCATCTCGCTTAAAACTCCAGCTGAAAAAAATCCACTTGCAGAGTGTTTTTCAGTTAGAAAGTTATTTATTAAAAGAAAAAAAGAAATGTTTTTTAACATAACTTTTTTTTAACTCTTTGTTACAACTCAGCAATGCTGATCTCCTGCAGCATATTCCTATCTACGTGCTCTCCATTTCCATCCCTGGGATCTTTTAGAAATGGTCAGTCCTGAAACTGAGCGGGGCAGTGGACGGATCTATGGTGGATTGTCGAAATTGTGCTTGAAAAAGTGGGAGTGGCTTACACCACAGGTCCAGTGTCTACAGGCAGAAGCAGGCAACTCTGGCCCTCCAGCCGTGCTCTGCCTACAAATCCCAACATGCCTCTACCTCAGGGAGTCATGCCTGCAACCTTCAGCCTTGCAATGCCTCATGGGACCTGTAGTTCCACAACAGCTGGAAGGCTGGAGTTGCCCACCTGTGGACTACAAAATTATGGATAGTGGGGATCCATAGGCACTGTGTACAGCATTCCAGTGACACTGACAGCGCACATGGCTCCCACCCATTAACCCCATCATGACAAGCGACGTACAGTGTTCTTCACTGGCATTGGGACTGTTTAAAGAGACTCCTGGCGGCTTTTGCCACTGGGACTCTGTTTAAACTTGTAAATCCGACAGTCAGCTGCCGCCAGATCGCTTCTATGGTCCGGTGAACAGGTCGTTGCCCCTCCTACCGGCTTCTTTGGTGTCAGGGGGAGGCTGGGGAGTAGATCCCATACCCGTACTATGGGACCGGGAGTGACGCGTATTGCATCCTTTCCGGTCCCATAGCTGTCAGTGTTGGGCTCCTGAAGCGATCTGCACTTCAAAAGCTCATTTAGGCCACATTCACACTAAGCGGATTGCCGCGCGATTTCCACCGAGATATCGCGCATTTTTCCCGCGCGATATATCGCGAGAAGTCGCCAGCCCATAATTTTCAATGCAGCTGTCTTAGGCCCCATTCACACTGAGCGATTTATCGTGGATATTTACCGCGCGATATCGCTCTCCAATGCATCTCAATGGGGCTCTGTCCGTCGCTGTCGCGGGTCGTGCGTCGCTACAGCAGGACCCTTTTTGGAACGGATTTTGCCGCGATTCTAGGTTGCTCAATGCAACCATTTGCGTGATATCGCGCAAAATGCAAATCGCGTGACAAACGCGCGATTTGCGAATCGCTCAGTGTGAATGGGGCCTAAATGCACAGCTCCATGTCGCCCGCCGCTAGTCGCGGTCACAAGTCGCGCCTGCAGGACCCTTTTTCCGGCGGATGCCGCGCGATTTTTCAATTTTTTTTTTTATGCAGCCCGACGGTGAAGGTCGCACTATCGTCGCTGGATCGTCCCTGAAACGTCGCCCCGAAAGTCGCGCTATCCCAGCCGTGCGGATCCACTCCAAAAGGTATGTCGCTCAGTGTAAATGGCGCCTTAGAGTGTAAAGGTGACACTGGGGGTCTTTTGGACCCCCAGCATTACCTTAAAAAGTACCTGTCACCACCATCTGCTATCACATGGGGGGCTTGTAAGTCCTCTATGTGATAGCAATTAAAGTAAAGTTTTAAAAAAAAACAGTTTTTAAAATTAATATTAAATACAATAAATGAAAAAATAATTTAAAAAAATGTTTTAAAGTCTCCCGCCCCCGCGAGCATGCGTGTCTTCACGTAAACACGCGTCGGGTGCGACTACGTATGAAAAAGATGATCGTGCTACACATGTTGGGTATCGCCGCGCAAGCTGGGGTGAGGGCAATAATTCTAGGGCCAGTATTTTTGGGTATCTCTAAACTATTGACCTGTGGGGGCTTTCAAAGCGTTGTCTATGGACTTTTTAGGGTACTGAAGTGTGTCGCCGTTTCACGGACGCACACAATTTGTAACCTGGGCATGTTGGGTATCTATTTACTCGTAACCTCATCTTTTATATTATATTTAAAAACTTGGTATTTTATTGTGTTTTGGGGCATTTAAGTCCATTTGTCACTAAAGTTTGGGGTTTGATAAGGAGTTGCGCTAATATCGTGCAACATAAAAATTTGCAACTGCCACCATTTTATTCTATAGAGTCTTGGCTTTCAGAAAATATATAATGTTTGGGTGTTTTAGGTAATTTTCAGGCATAAAATGTGGAATATAACATGGGTGCAAAAAAAAAAAGAAAAAAAGGCCTCAGTCATGAAGGGGTTAAACATCCCAATTACAGTAACAGTTCCTGTAGGCTGGAGCCAGGTGCATTGTCAGTGTTTATAGATTGGTGGGAGCCAGGTGCACACATCATTCGAGTGACACTGAAACTGCCACCTACAGGCACTGTTTGGAACGGCACATGCGTGACAGTTAAGGGCACTGTTAGTATCATTAGAATGGCGGATAGGTGAGAGCATCTCTGGAAAGGTGTGTGCACCTGACTCTCACCTAGCTGCCATTCCAGTGACACTGGTGGTGCACCCTACAGGTAATGCCATGTCTGTGTACACCAAGGGCCGGATTTGCTCTCCCTGCCGCCCCAAGCCCAGGTTCCCCACCAACCGAACCCCTACCCCCAATCAACGAAGAATGGCAACCGGATGGCAGGGTTAGTTCGAACTTTTTTGTTTCTTTATTTTTCCTTTTTCATCACCTTTTTTTATTTTATTTTTTACATAATTTTCTATCTTATTATTGTTTAATTTTTATAATTATTTTCTTATTTTTTTAATATTATTTTTATTATTATTATTATTATTTCTTATTTTTTTTAATTTTTAATTTTTTTTATCAATTTTTTTTCACTTAACTTTATTGCTATCACACAGGAGAAAGCAATCCCGTGTGATAGCAATTGGAGGTGACAGGTTCTCTTTATTGACCCTGTCACCTCTAAAACAGGAGTTCTAGCACAGCGCTGTGCTGGAACTCCTGTCACAGCTGAGATGGGAAGAGCGCAGCTCTCCCCTTTCACTGTGTACATCGGCGGCAGGGACAGGAGACAGACTCGGCGGCCGGGGGGAGGACGGAGTCCCGAAGACAGAGCCAGCAGAGAGTGGTAGGTGGGGGGGCAGGGGGGGGATGGACGGAATTCATGTCTGTGGTTGTCAGAGTCTTGCAATGCCTCTTGTAGTTTCACAACAGCTGGAGAGACCAAATTTGGCTACCTCTAGTCCACACTAACCATTTTGGATGTTCTCTATGTTTTTACCCCAACACATGTCTTTGTTGCCCTACAGGTAGAAGAGTTCTTGGATGACAACGCTGGTTATAACGAGGTAGTGGAAGAGCAAAGATACTACCGGCGGAAAAGACTTTTAACCATAAAGAGCGTTATTTCTGCAAGCTTGGCTGCTGCCATAACGTACGGCGTATATCTGGGTATGTTACAGCTCTGGGCTGCAGGCCCTCATGATGGAAACTTCTGAAGAAAAAGCTGTGTGTTACCCATAGAAGCCAATCGGATTTCCCCTTTCGTCAGCGTCGAAAAGCAAGAATAAAGGGAATTAGGTTGGGCTGCGGCTAAGAATTATTTTCATATTAGATTAGTTAGCCGATTATTGAAGGAGAACTATGAGGTGATTGCTTTTCACTCAGCCTCATAATCTGAGCCGACCTGCGACAATGAGACTGTCACAGGTCGGCTCAGTGGATCGGGAAGTGAGCGAACACATACCGGCGCTCGCTCACTTCTCGATCCTGTAACTGCAGAGAGCCGTGACAGGGGAGTGACTCGATTCTCCCATCCCCTGTCCAATCCTCCAGCGCTGACTGGCGGAACGGATGGGGGAGGGTACAGCTGGCTCTGCCTCTAGATAGGCAGAGCCAGCTGTGAATTCGCTCACTGCTCGATCATGTCCCTGCAGAGAGCCGTGGCCGTCACTCACGGCTCCCTGCAGGGATTCCCCCCGCCGTGGCCGTCACTCATCTATCCCTGCAAAGAGCCGTGACTGTCACTCACGGCTCCCTGCAGGGATTCCCCCTCCCGCTCCGATCTTCCAGCGCTGACTGGCGGAACAGACGGGAGGGGGCGGGTACAGCTAGCTCTGCCTCTAGATAGGCAGAGCCAGCTGTTACTCACGCAGCTGGGTGGATCCAGACAAAATTGTCGGGATCTGTTTCAGCTGCCGCGTCTCAGTATATAGTGAGCTGTAGCTCGCGGTATACTGAGCTTAGGGTGACGGGAGGACACTAGTTTGTGTCCTCCCGTTACCCTTAGGAGAACTATGGGGAAAAGCCCTAACCTCATAGTTCTCCTTTAACTTCGTTTAAATGGATAAAAAAAATTAATACTGTCATTTATTTAAAATAAAATACACAAATGCAGCATTACAGACATAACGTTTACTTCAGAATAAAACTGTACGCACATTTTTTGAAATTGCACTGGAACGCAGGGCATTGCAGTAACATGCGGGTGATCACTGCGGACGGGAGGTGCATTTGGAATCCATTGAAATGAATGGCCCCGCAATGCACCTTCTGCAGCAAAATTTGTCAGGGCGAAACTGAAAATGACTTTTCCTACCTTAATCAATAAAAATAAATATATATATATTGTGTTTTTATTTTTTAAACTTTTTTTAATTTTCTGTATTTTTCAATATAGTTTATTTAACTTTATTTTTTTATAATTCTTCTTGACTTTATTGCTAGGAGCAATAGCCAGTCTGCTATTGGATATTTCAAATTGCAGTAGCCAATAGCAGGCTGGTTATTGCTCCCGCCCACTGCCTGCTGTCAATCAGCCGAGGAGGGACCTGAATAAGAAAGTTCTCCATCAGGTCCTCCTCTGCTGATTGTCAGCAGGCAGTAGGTGGGTGCAGTAGCAAGCCTGCTATTTCATTTTAAAATATCCAATAGCCGGCTGGGTATGGCTGGGTGGAGAGGAGGCACGGGCTGGGGCAGCAGAGCGACGGGCCGGGGCAGAGGAGGCATAGAGCGGCAAAGAAGGACCGGGGCAGCAGCGGAGGTACAGTGGGGCAGCAGCGAATGTGTGTGTGGGGGGGGAGGGGGGTAGTGGTCAGCGGGGGAATGCAGTCCTCCCCGCTGGTCCTGGCTGCAGTGGTCTGTGTCCCCGCTGCCTCTGCCAAAACAGGCGATGAGAGCAGCGGGGATTGAAAGGGATATACTGTAGATTGCTGCAGCCAGCACCAGCAGGGAGGAGAATGGAGGAGCAGAGCAGCGGCTGAGGGTGGGTATCTGAACCAAATTGCTACTGCAGTGGAGGTCCAGGATCTGGTTTTGCTGCATCCAGAGCCAGAGTGAGGGCAGCACACATCTAGATGTCTGATCTCCCCTCCGGTTACTGAACCCAGAAGCAACAAGGATTTTGTCACTTCCGGTCTCAGGCCATTTCTGCATCTGTCGGTGGAGAAGGAGCCGATGAGGCACGCTAACAAGTCCCCTATGTAAAAGTGATAAAGTTATGTGTTAAAAAAAAAGTTTAAAGTGACATATAATATATTTAAAAAAAACCCTCAGTCCCTATGTACACGCACATACAAACATGCACCAGGTATGCCTATATACGGAAACAGCAATTGCAACATACATCTTACAAAAAATAAAATTTTCTAGCCATGTATATAATAACTACTGTCTCAGCTGCCAACCATGGCAGCTTAGATGACGTGGTCTTTGTGCTTTGAGTGAATGCAGAACGTCTATTGTTTTCAGTCAGACAGATGCGGTCTGGTAGAATTACAGTGAGATAAGTGGATCAGCATGGCATATTGTTCAGCATTACTTAGCAGGAAGAGGAGCCTATTAGAAATCATGGAAGTTGGATTCACCCAGCCATTCACTATTGTTTCCTTTGCGACCAGCCAGATACAGGTTGGTTCTGAAGGCAGTGAACCATAACAGATTAAAGATTCCTTCATCCATGCTACAAAAAGAAAAAACACAGCGCTCTCTCAGGGATGCAGGGCGTGCGTGGATGCAAATGGTGTAAATTGCTCCTAAAAAAAAACAGGAGGAGAACCCTGTGAACGATTTGCGCTCTTAGTGCCTCATTACTTCATCCATGCTAAACCACATAGATGGATGATTCTCCTGCCGCAGATATTGTATTGTGACAGCAGCGCCCATCGCTGTCAAAATACATAAACAGATACTATTCAGCTGAAATATTTCAGCCCAGACCGTTTGACCAAAGTCAATTCAGTAACAGTGTATGGTCAACTTTAGCAGTAAGCCCAGCATTAGCAGACTGAAGATGCAGACAGCACTGTCTGGTGAAGGGTGTGTGTCCATCCATTACTTTGATGTCTGATGTTCTCTGAGCTCCTTCAATTTTTTTTTAATAAGGTGTTATTATGGTCTTGTGACTCTTTACTGTCTATGTTACAGGTCTCCTGCAGATGCAGCTAATTTTACATTACGATGAGACCTACAGAGATGTGAAGTATGGTAATATGGGTCTGCAGGACATCGATAACAAGATGCTGATGGGCATCAATGTGACCCCAATTGCCGCTCTGCTATATACTCCTGTCCTCATTAGGTTAGTAGGTAGATGTTGGTCAAGTGAGTCATATTGAGATAGACTTACCCACCATTTAAAAATTGGGTAGGTGGTTTCCGCAGCTCTTCTGAAAGGAACTGTCTGGGAGATAACTGACACTGGGGGGCAGCCACCCAATCTCTCAAGAGATCTTTGAATCCCATGGGACACAATGCACATACTATTCACGAAGCTGCCGAAGGATCTAGCCGTAGCTTCGGCCGATCCTTCGGCTAGCTTCGGCCCCAGGAACCCTTCGGTTCAGTAGAACCGAAGGGGTGCTGTACGGGCTATTCACTATCAGCAGAATAAAGAAAGAAAAAGCAGTGTTTCTCTCGTGGGCTCCCAGAGCGCCCGGCAGATTTTTTTTTTGACGGCAGCAGAGCCGCCGGACAATAGGACACTATTGGGCGGAGCTAGCTGTCACTGCTAGCTCCGCACAATTGTTTTCTATTTACTTTTTTTTAACTATTTTTCTGTTCTGCTCAGCGGCATTCGGCTATTCACTCACTGCTGTTCGGCATCTATAAGAATAGGCCGAACATGCTGAGCATGTTCGGCCGACCTGAAGCCATGCGAAGCAAGCCGTACCAGCCTGAAGTGAATAGCCGAACAGTGTTCAGCTCACTTCACTTCAGGTCGGTCATTCAGTCGGCTGCCTATGGCAGCTTAGTGAATAGACCCCTATGTATTCAGATTGAGAGGGGTGGATATGTCCCAATAATAGAATTGTATTTGCTTACTACGATGCCTATTAGGCTTATGCAGCTGATTGAATTACGAGTCTTAAGCAGTGTACAGATACCTAGACCAAAGTGGCATCCCCTTACCCTGGACCCGTTGTTCCGATGAGGAATGGTTCTTAGGCCAACGTGTAAGCACCATCTGTGGGGATGCGACTCTCCGTCTGGTGCAGCGGGTCCTGGGTGCTGGGAGGTTTTTTAGGTGATAAGATACCCTATTGCTAGGACATGGAATGCTCATGATAGCATACTGTGCTTTTAATGATGTTAGCGCATATTTCGATATAACTCATATGACCCCAAAGTGCTATGATGTTGACACCAAAGAGCTATGTACCAATGTTTACTGTGATTTGCATTAATAAATGAAGTATTTGAAAAAAAATTGGGTAGGTGTATGGGTCACCGACAAGTTTCATAAGGGCGATGGAAAATGGGACTGCACCAGTTTTACTTTAAGATATGCATCCGATCCCTTAAACAGCGGATTCTATTGTACCCTGCATCATACGGCCAGCTAGCATCTACCTAAACCTCTTATATCTGTATGGTTTAGCCATTGCTTTGGATGCTCCAATATGTAAGCAGATTGGACTAAATGCTACACAGAAACAGTTGTCTTAATGGAAGCTGCCCTCAGCAATAATTTTCCATGGTCCCTACATCATCACTATGTTATAATTAAATGTAAAACAAATCCTAAAAGATCGGAGGTGAGAGATGCTGCATGGTAAACTATGTCTACTATGTGATTTTCTACTTGCAGCAGTAACATAGTGATGGCGGAGGGGATGGGCGAAGGCGTGGCTTAGGGCAGCCTGGAAATCAGAGGATCCAACATTTCAAAAAATGTAAATTCTCTGAATGATGAAGATGAGATCTCTGCTCAAGTTAAACTAATTGCATTACAAAAGAGTGCTACTATAAGTTGCTATCTTACTCTTCGGATCTATATATTTACTAGACTTTGCCTATTTGGGTGACAGGGTCTCTTTAACTAAAGTCCTCTAGGACAGCGGTCGCCAACATTTCAGACCTCATGGACCACTAAATTCATCATTTTAAATCCCGCGGACCACTAATATGAATTTGCTATATATACAGTAGGTGCGGTTGTCCCTGCAGGAGTGTTAGTGCTGGTGGAGGAAGGGAGTGGTGCCGCCTCCCCCAGTAATAATATTAATTGTTCCCCCCTCCCCTTCCTATCGAATCTGCCACTGGCCCTGCCGGCAGCGTCATTTCCTTGTGACAGCTGCTGCTTGAGTCAGTGATAGGCAGCCCTGGAGCCTTCGTGCCACTTCAATGACGGCCCAGCCTGCACAGCATCAGAGGGGCCCGGGGACCACCAACATTTTCTCGTGGACCACCAGTTGGCGACCGCTGCTCTAGGATGCATAGGAAATAAGATCCAAAATCAGGGAAACATGCAGATACAAAATCATGCATGACGGAATAAACGTCAGTCAAAGTATCGCAGCGCTGAATACTGAAAAATTGCCTGGCCAGGAAGGGGGTCTAAACACCTGGTCTTGAAGTGGTTAACTAGACACGAACACTTAGGGGATGATTTATAACCCTTCCCCCCCAGTGCAGTGGTGGCGAACCTTGGCATTCCAGCTGTGCCAAAACTACAAATCCCAACATGCATCTGCCTCTGGGAGTCATGTCTGTGGCTGTCAGAGCCTTGCAATGCCTCATGGGACTTGTAGTTCCAAAACAGCTGGAGTGCCAAGGTTCGCCACCACTGCCCCAGTGTATAACTGGGCTGGTGCTGTTCGCATGGCACTGCAACCAAGAGATGGCGCTGAGGAGCATAGGAATTTCCTGTGCTCCTCAACGCTATCTTGCCGCAGTTCTAATTCAACCCCAGAAATATACTTCTTGACTTGATGATATCTATTTCCCTGACTCAGATTTTTTGGCACAAAGTGGATGCTGTTCCTCTCCTCTGGGATCTATGCCTTGTTTGTCTCTACCAATTACTGGGAGAGATACTACACCCTCGTACCATCAGCGACTGTCATCGGAGTTATGATTGTCCCCTTCTGGGCTTCAATAGGCAATTACATTACCAGGTAAGATCTGAAAAATAAAGCATGTGTGTTAAATAAAGTAGATATGTAGAAATGAGAGTTCTGTTGTAAATTAAGATGTCCCATTAAGGCAATTTAAAGAAATATTTTTAAAGTGTAATTCCACTTTTGCAGTCAGATTTGAGAAAACCCCTTCTGTATGTTTGTTGTGTGTTCCCATTCACACAACATAAAAAATAAATATATATAAATAACCTTTTGCAGCATACAATATGGCTGATTCCCTTTTTCTGAGCACAGTGATCTGTCCTTATAGAAAGACTTTGGACTGAAATTTGAGGATTGTGCTTCTCTCAATAACATACAATGCAGAAGCAATGAGAGGGGTTCCTAGTAGGGATGCACCGATACCAACACTGGTATCAGTATAGGGGCCAATACAGGGCATTTTCACGAGTACTTGCACTCGCCGATACTGGCCCTTTAAATCTTTATACAAGTTCGGCTGCCTGAGTTCCCGTTCTTGCTGAGGACCTCTGGCAGCCTTCTGGGGACCTCGCCATAGCTGTCCTTGGCAGTGCCGATCCGGCCGCACATCTCCTCCTCCTTCCCGAGACTGGCACAGCACTGGTCAGCCCCACACCTGCCCGCACAGTCCTGGTAAAACCCAAATGCAGTCCTGGTGAGATCGCACGCAGTCCTGGTAAATGCCCGCAGACACACCGTCGCACTTCTGAGTGACTCTTGCAGCCCTTCTGGAGCCTGCCATACCCTCTTGAGAGCAGGTAAGTAAATGCTTACCTGCTCTCAAGTTTTATACTGCAGTTGCCTATTGTTCTTCTCTTATTGGTTTATGTAATAATGCTAATCAAATGCAATAGAGAATGGCAACCGGCTATAGAGGACTACAAATCTCAGCAATCTAAGATGCTGGTTATCATTCTCCATTGCTGTATAATCATGGATTGATGGAATCCGTGGTTGGCACGTACCTGGGTGGAAACTGAATGTAGGGAGGAGGCTTCCCTTGCACCTCGTGTCCCAAAGACTCTGGAGTTGGGGATAGAGTCTGAGTGGACAGCGAGTGGCACAGGTGCCAGTGGTGATCACACCGTGCAAGCGGAAGTTCCGGCCACGGATCGGGTCAGGCTGAGCTGTAGTCAAACCCAGGCAGGCAGCGGAGTGCCGAGCAGGATCCAAGATCGAGGTCAAGCAAGCCAGTCGGGCAGCGAGGTACAAAGGCAGGAGACAGAGGCAGGTCCAGTGAGAAAGCAGGAGGTCGGGGGCAGTCAGCAATCAACAAGGTCAAGGATAATCCGGGTCAAAGTCAGCAAGGTAATCGGAAGCACAGGGAACACAGGGGAAGCTGAAGACAATCCAGCAACTGGGAGTCAGGCAGGCTGGCTTTAAATAGGCAGATTCATCAGGAAGCAGCATAACTTCCTGTGCGCCGTTTGATGCGTTTTTGCACGGCTGTTCTGTGGCGCACGTATGCACGCAAGTGCCTGTTTATCCGCGGTACGGAAAACTGGGCGCTGCACATGCGCAATAGCAGGTGGTTTCTGACAGTGGTCCCCTATTGCTGGTGGTTGCCATTCTCCATTGCTCAATAATCATGGATTGATGGGATCTGTGGTCCTCTATTGCTGGTGGTTGCCATTCTCCATTGCTGTATAATCATGGATTGATGGGATCTGTGGTCCTCTATTGCTGGTGGTTGCCATTCTCCATTGCTCATTAATCATGGATTGATGGGATCTGTGGTCCTCTATTGCTGGTGGTTGCCATTCTCCATTGCTCAATACTCATGGATTGATGGGTTCAATGGAGAATGGCAACCACCTCTATTGCTGGTGGTGGCCATTCTCCATTGCTCAATAATCATGGATTGATGGGATCTGTGGTCCTCCATTGCTGGTGGTTGCCATTCTCCATTGCTCAATAATCATGGATTGATGGGATATGTGGTCCTCTATTGCTGGTGGTTGCCATTCTCCATTGCTCAATAATCATGGATTGATAGGATCTGTGGTCCTCTATTGCTGGTGGTGGCCATTCTCCATTGCTCAATAATCATGGATTGATGGGATCTGTGGTTCTTTATTGCTGGTGGTTGCCATTCTCCATTGCTCAATAATCATGGATTGATGGGATCTGTGGTTCTTTATTGCTGGTGGTTGCCATTCTCCATTGCTCAATAATCATGGATTGATGGGATCTATGGTCATCTATTGCTGGTGGTGGCCATTCTCCATTGCTCAATAATCATGGATTGATGGGATCTGTGGTCCTCTATTGCTGGTGGTTGCCATTCTCCATTGCTCAATAATCATGGATTGATGGGATCTGTGGTTCTTTATTGCTGGTGGTTGCCATTCTCCATTGCTCAATAATCATGGATTGATGGGATCTATGGTCATCTATTGCTGGTGGTTGCCATTCTCCATTGCTCAATAATCATGGATTGATGGGATCTGTGGTCCTCTATTGCTGGTGGTGGCCATTCTCCATTGCTCAATAATCATGGATTGATGGGATCTGTGGTCCTCTATTGCTGGTGGTTGCTATGCTCCATTGCTCAATAATCATGGATTGATGGGATCTGTGATCCTCTATTGCGTGTTGTCATTCTCCATTGCTCAATAATCATGGTCTGAGTTACAGTTCTTCAAAATTGTAAGGAAACTGCCCTAAAAATCATTAGTCTGTATTGTTTCAGAAAAAATGTCACATGTCCCTTTAAGAAAAAGTATCGGTAATTGGTATCAGCAAATACCAGAGGGAAAGTTCCTGAAAAACTGGTATCGTTGCATCCCTAGTTCCTGGATATAATTTCCTTCTAACTAAGAATATTGAATACCTTCTTTATTTTTCTTTGGTAACATGTTTTTTTTTTTTTAACCTTTTATTGTAATGAATATTATTGACTACAGGATGGCTCAGAAGTATCACGAGTTTGTGGACTTCAGAGAAGAAAATGTCAGGGAGCCGCGGCGTGTACGTCGAGGAGCCAGCCATAAATACATCATCATTTTTCAGAGTATCTTCTATTCCATCTTCCATGTGAGTTCACACTATAGGCCGTTCCTTCTTGTAGCGTCTTTATAAAGGGCCCCCGTCCACACATTTGTTCTTGATTAGTTTACGTTTAGATTCGTTTTAGATTTTAGATTTAGTTTTCCGATTCGTTTTTTGTTCAGTTTAGTTTCAGGAAAATGTTCACGTATATATTTCAGACTTGTAACTTCTCTCAATCCGATCTCTACCATGATACCACAGTCGGCTCTGCCCTTGGTCAAACCCCACCACTGAAGATGTCAGAAATATAATTTACAATTAAGCCACACCTCATGTCAATACAGGATTATCAGAGCCTATATTGACTATAATTTTGAATTCCCCTTTGCTTTCCTTCACAATTGTCACCAGCACAAGCAGTGGAAACCTCCCCAGCTGGGACAGAGATGGCAATATAAACATGGCTGAGGTTCTTGCCCATTTTTAGTTCTTTTTAAAACTAGAAACTGCTTTCTTTGTAGAAAATCCTTAGTGCTCTGGGAATCCTGCTTTGTGTATTAAAACGTATTACTAAAATACATATGGTGTATGAAAAAAATAAATAAATATGGTAGTGGTAAACCATACATGAGACAAGGCCCTGAGAACCAGTTAGCTCATAAATATATAAAGGACTGTGGACATCAGAGACTAATAATGAGGTCTGGATACCAGATAACATGTGGACCTAGGAATGGAGGTTTTACTACACCCAAACCCTTTGGGCTCCAGGACTCAGAACAGAACGTTTTAAAATTGTAAGAAAATAAAAAGTTGGGGGTTTTTTTGTTTTGTTTTTCTTCATATCAGCCATAAACCCTGGAGCCCCTCATCATGTGTATGAAACCTAGGTGACACATGCACACAGTCTAAAATCCTGCCTTCCAGTTCCTCATACACTATATATCCTTTCAATATATAGTTCGTCAGGTAGAAAAAAAGACATCCATTGCGTTCAACCTATAAAAATGTCCTATTTTACATTTTTCACCGCCCATCGTGCCTTTAGCCAATCTTCTCGCAGCACTCAATGTGCCTGCACCCCACCTTCTCCTAGAACTCACGTGCCTGCACTCCACCTTTTCTCACCGCCCACCAATCCTCCTTCCATCATTGCATATGTACTCTGCCTCTCTCCACTTCACCTGTGCATAATTTCCCCTAATGTCTTACCTACACATCTGCACTACACTCCTCTCACACCAATGTACCTGTACATAACCCCTCCCCAGCACCCAACAGTGCACCATAACAGCCGCCCAACTCACACCCAATGTATGCCATCCCCCCTCCCATCCTCCTTTGCTTCCACCATTGTGCCTGCACACTGTCCCCCTGCTTTAGCCTCTAATTTTGAACCCCCAACATCAATGCGCCTGCAGGCCCTTCTCTCCCCAACTGATGCTGATTCCTGATCTTCCACTACATCCTTGCTTTCTCAAAACCCCCACCTGTACACCCTTCCCATCAGAACTGTATTTTCTCTCTGCTCTCACTCCACGGCAACCACAAAGATTGGGCCCTTTAACTCACCCTTTTAACTCGCCAACATGCCTGCACCACCAGTACCACCACCTGACTCGCAGACTTATCTCTTACCTCACATTTGCACAAAGAACCACCCTGTAACACTGCATGGCCTTTCAACCCCATCTCAGTTCCATGGTTGTGCCCCTTCCCCTTTCACCACCATGCCCGTACCCTCTTTATTACAAAGCCTGTGCATCCTTCTCCCCACTCTTACTTCATGACTCGTTAATAATGTGTTGCTTATGAGCTCCATCCAGCTCAAGTCCAGGAACTGCCATGTTCCACCTAAACTATTGGTGGTACACCTCATGCACATTGAGAACACTTGAGTAAAATAGATGCTATATTAGAAAACACACTGTCTTATGTACAAGTATAGGTTTATGTCACTCCTATATGCTGTTTCCTTCCTACAGTTGAGCTTCGTCCTGTCCCAGTTTCCTGTGTACTTCTTCCTCAACAAGTTCCTGTGTGACTATAACCACACACTTTTCGATGTGAAGGAATGTGGTAGGTGTGCAAGCTCGCTGTAATGTCATAGATAGAGTTTGTGTAAAAGCTGGAAGTACTATCCACGTCAACCAATCATATTTGATCCTTTTAATTTTCTTTAGAAAGCATCAGCTGAAATCTGATTGGTTGCAAGGTGTAAACCCCTCATTTTCCCTTTGTGCGGGATCTAAATTTGTTTTGGTCAATATCATTTGTACCTGTACACAAACTGCAGTCTTTTTAAGTTTATTTGTATCCCTGCCAACTGTTGATCTGCTGTAGTAAAAGGATGTAAAGGAGAGAAGAATTGCGTAGGTTAAAATGCAACTGAAGACATTTTTTTTAAGTTTTGGATGGAGTGGGGAGGGATTAAAACACCTGTCAGCTTTGTATCGCTGTCTATGTCACTGTTTGGGAGGTTCACATTCTTTACTTGTCCTGGTGATCATTGTCACTAAAAGTCAAAGTGAAAGAAAATCCCACATTTTAAGTTGTCACCTGAACAGCAGTAAATGGGAAATCTTCCAATGGGGACATTAGTTCTGGTGAACCTGCTGACCACAAGGCATTTCCCCAATTTTAGAGCGATTTCCTCTCTCTTCTTGTTGTGGCAGACAGGAAGTAAAGGGAAATCTTTCCAATGGGACACAGATGGCAAAAAAAAAAAAGCTGATAGGGGTTATAGGCCTCAGGTATATGTTTTTTTGTTCAGTTCTAGTTTAAATGATCCCTCCACTTAACATTAAGCTTGTGATTTGTCATCAGCTGCAACTTAAGGTGGCCATACACTGTCCCGCAGGCTGAATGAGAAAAAATGCTTGATCATGCTAAACAGATATAGTTCAGATGTATTATACTTAAAGAAAAAGTGCAATTTGTCTTTTTGCTCCTCCTCCCATAACCTAACCAAGCCCACCTTTCCCCTCCACAGATGTTAGTTACCTTACTCCAATGCCCATAGCCTCCAGGGATTGTTTGCCGCAAGTCCTCTGTTTCTGTAGACTTCTATAGGGCCCTACTGGTCAGGCAGGAGAGGGGACTTTGGCATGGGATGTAAACTAACATGGAAGGCCCCATCTTGGTAAGTATGCCATTGGGATCTGTTAAGTCAGGGGAGAGCACAAAAAGAATAAGTGCACTTTGTCTTTAGGTAATTGTTTACATATTAGAGAGAGACTGCAGCCGGTGCACAAAGCCCATTAGACCTTTGCTTCCTGCAATGGGGATGTGGCTCAGGCCCTGGTGCACCGGCTGCACCAGTGGTAGGTCCAACCCTGATATTAACAAAATTCAAGAAAATGTTGGATAAGTCCATCTTGTTTGGTTGGGTGCTAACGGGTTCAGCTACTGGCTTCTACCATATCCACATCCTCTACCATAGCTAGAAGTTATGTCGGATACAACACAGGCTGGCACAAAGCCAAGTGAGTCTTAGGTGGGTCTTAGATACAGTAGGAGTTGGAAGTGGGGTCTCCCATGTGAATTATAACAAATGACAGATGATTAAAAGCACCAGTGTCCTTACTTTCCTGCACCCAGTTTTGGGTCGATGTGCTGAACAAAATAAAAAATCTGTAGAACACTCTTCAAGTTGCAATAGGTTGTTGTGAACATCTTATCCTAGTGCTTGCTGGATCTGTGTAATCCTTTTTATCCATGTAGGTGCTTCAATGCAACGTGGAGTCCTTCCAAAGGGGTTCAACCTTACTGTCCTTCAGTCTCTACCCCCTAGTATCAGTCTCATCTACGTAGAAAGTGTCCTCATGGGGGCAGCACTTGTGGCTATGCTGCTGGTGAGCTCATGTTTTATTTCGGCTTTTAAAATTTGCCACTGTGTTTTTTTTATTTTTATTTATTATGGGGTTTTTTTCTTTGTGTTGGGGCATTAGCACACAGGTTTTTGGCAGCAATACACTGTTTACCAGCTAATTTCCACCTAAACCTCATTGTTATTCCTAACCCAAACCCCATCATGAGGCTGGACCAGGGCACCACGAGGACTAAAGAATGTCCCTACCTACTTTAGGCATGACTTTGCCTTGGCATTGAGTCCTAGGTCCTTAAAGGCTAAGGCCCCTTTCCATTTAGACCCGGCTGCCCATAGACTTACCGTATTTTTTGCTCCATAAGACGCTCTTTTCCCCCCCCCAAAAGGCGGGCAAAAATGTCTGTGCGTCTTATGGAGTGAATGTGTGAGAGCTGAGGGAATCCCTATCGCCTGACGCCCGGGACGTGCAGTTTCAGGCACCGGGCGAGTCGTTTTTTTCTACATTTAGCCCTGCTCCTGACAAGCAGAGCTAAATGTATAGTGTGGAGCCGCCGCTCTTTTTCATACAAGTGATCTGATTATGAAAGGAGCAACGGCGATCCTGTCCGCCCCACCCCCCCCACGGTTTTTGGGGTCCCCCGCTCCTTTCGAAGACCCGTGACCAGGGCATAGGAGCTCACCATAGAGCCCGTAGAGCAGACGAAGAACGTCCATTCTTCGTCTGCTCTGTGTGATCACTGAGACCGTGGCGCTGTAATCACAGTGCCACTTGTCTCAGCTGTCAGGAACTACACAGAACCCTACCCCACGTCCTATGGTCAGGTGCGTCTTATGGAGCGCAAAATACGGTGCATTGGGTATCTGATCGGATCTTTTTTTCGATTATGCAGCGCCAACACAACAATAAATAAGTGATAAATTAAACCATATAATGTGAACAAACACCATTAATTATATAATGTGAATATGTGTTATTCAGTGAAACAAAACCAATAAATGTGAAACTGTGTCCACTTTTGAAAAAATTGAAGAAATTAAATAAAATAAAATAGAGTGAAAATTTTATTTGTTATGGTTTCATGTCTGTTAAAATTTCATAATTATATTTGTAACTTTTAATATTAATAGATCCACCACTTAGGAATTTTATGTAACATTATTTAGTATGTTCCGATCGTAAGATACAAAGTTTTGAAGATCGGTTTACACTACACACTTTATCCTAATTAAATTAAACAATAGTGTAATACTGGTAGTCAATTCACTGCCAATCAGCGAATTGACCACACTATATAGGGAAGGATCTGGTATAGCAAGTTAGACCTGCTAAACCCCTGAGGACGTCGATGAGACGAAACGCGTAGGGGCGGGTCTAACCTCACGCTACACCAGATACAGGATTTTGTAGTTTTGCCGATCGGAACATCTTACTTTGGAATTTTTTTCGGGTTTTTTTTGCCTGTGGATTTCGTTGTTTTAGTCCTATTTTGATTAAAATAAAATCCTTTTGAAACTTCTACACTATGAGAGGTCTTTTTCTTGTATGATCCCGAAGACAAACCATTCACCGGTCACAGACCGTCAAGAGTTGCAGCGGAGACGCCACAACTTCAGGAGAATTAATTTCTCTAAAAGCTCTACAGGCTGCTTACCACAGCCACTACATTGTGGTGAGTATATACCCTGAGGGGATTCACACGGCATTTGCCGGCATCCCCAAACAAACATCACGGAACTGTTTCCTGAATTTACAACCTGCTCTTGCTTGGAACACCTTATTACCATTCACGGTGTTTGAAAAAAAAGACATACACAACACACGTTGGACTTTTTCACTCTGTATTTTATTTTATTTAATTTCTTCAATTTTTTCAAAAGTGGACACAGTTTCACATTTATTGGTTTTGTTTCACTGAATAACACATATTCACATTATATAATTAATGGTGTTTGTTCACATTATATGGTTTAATTTATCACTTATGTATTATTGTGTTGGCGCTGCATAATCGAAAAAAATATGTATGCTTTGACCCTGTGTGGTCCTTTTTTTTGCTGCAGCCTTCATATTCAATTATATATCACGATACACATTATTTTGTACAGTCACTGATATTTGTTCACATCATTTTTCTGTGTTGGCGCTGCATAATCGTAAATCTGATCGGATCTACCTGAAAAACTGATCAGACGCCAGTGGAAGTGGAAGGGACTTACTGGAAGTTCACATTTCTGACCATGTTTCATGTTACACCCATATTGAAGTGGTAAGTGGAAGGGGTCTTCCACTATGCTTTTGTGTCATATGACTTATGGGCAACAACGCACAGAGAGATCAAGTACCGTTTCCCTCCAGTGCATAATGGTTATTTCTATATGAAAAATAGTTCTGCAAGAGGGGCTTATTATATAATACATCAACAATGCTTACTAAAGTGATTGATTATAGCTGTGGGGTGGGTGGGAAAGAAGAGACTTGTACATATGTTTTCTTTTGGGGGAAAGTGGGGGGTTTCTGGTGCGTTCAGTAAATCATTAGTGGTCTGTATTAACCTACAGACTTACATTAAAATATAAAAAGTAGTATATCAATAAGCAGAAAACAGATATTACAGCAAATAAGGCTGACCTCTTGCACATGCTGTATGCAATTGTAAACCCCTGCCTCTACTCATGGAAGTAATTGGACAAGGGCATTGTTAGTGAGTGTCAGGGATACCGTGCACGGGTGTCCCCACACCGCGTACAGGTATCTCTACGGGAAGACCAAATGTGTGGCCACACTAGACAAGGTTTATGAGCACACGGTTTATTAACACACCAAAATCATAAAAACACAAACACCCCCACCAACACCCACAAGTATCAAACAATAACCCACTTAACGCAAAAACAATGAAACTACATACAAGTGAAACCTGGGGAGCATGGCAACACAAGGGGAGCCACAGGGCAAAGGTCAGGGTCTTGGGGGGCACCAGGACTCAGGATACAGGACTCAGGATACAGGACTCAGGACATGGCAACAATACTGAGCCAAAGTCCAGACTGCAGGGAGGGATTAAATACCCTCCCAGGTAGCACCAGGTGGTGAATAATCGCCGACAGCTGGGAGCACTGGACTTGCAGGTTCCAGCACCTGTCTGCCTGGAAACACCTGCAGGTGAGCGCAGGAACTGCAGGACCAGGTTCCAGCGCCACCTGGAGGTGCTATGGTCCCTGACAGTGAGTGGGTGATGCTTAGTTTTAAGGGGAATCTGATCGTCGGAGATGTAACAAAATAAAGCGAGGATGAGAGGGGCATAAAGATGGACTCTTCCTGGCTAAGGTAATGGCTCTCACCTTGTGGTGTCTGCTCTTGGAAGACGAAGGAGGTTCAGGAAGGGATATCATTGGACATATTAGAGGGCAGATGATTGGTACACGATTATGGAGGTCATCATAGGTGAAAAGATGCTGTTTTGGAATTTTCCATTCCCTCACATATATTTCTCTCTACCCAGTTCTTGGTCCTCTGTGGCTCTGCATATCGCCCAACTGAAGAGATCGACCTTCGCAGCATAGGCTGGGGGAACATCTTTCAATTACCCTTCAAGCACTTTAGAGATTATCGCCTTCGCTGCCTAACTCCATACTTCCTGTACAGCGGGTTTGAAGTCTTGTTTGCCTGCACAGGCTTTGTTTTGGTGAGTGCTGTCAGCCTACGCAAATGCTACCAACACATGTCCTCTTATTCATGTTTATTTCTCAATAATCTTTTGTTTCTTATCTCTGCAGTGCTATGGAGTGTGCTCCCTCGGCTTAGAGAAACTTCCATATTTAATCACAGCGTATGGGTTATCAGCCTCTGTCTTCTCCACCCTGGGCCTGTGCTTCCTTCGCCTGCCACGCCAAATACCCCTGGCTGGGGGTGCCATAGTGCACATCTGCATCCTGATTGCCTTGTTTTTCTGGAGTCCGGCTCCCAGGGAGCAATCGCAGGGTCCCATGCTTTATGTGGTGGCTGTGCTGTGGGGTTTGGGCACAGCCCTGAATAAGACCGGCCTCAGCAGTGAGTGATGTGTTGGGGTAATAGTATTAAGATGGGGGGGGCAAATGTGGCAATATGCCATAAGCAACCCGATTTCACTGAAAGATTATTTCTGATTGGTTACTATGTCTTATTATACCGCCTGACTGAATAAGGTTAAAGGTGAAGTATGGGGTAAGTGTTTTTCCCCATAGTTCTCCTCAGGGTCACGGGAGGACATAAACTAGCGTCCTCCCGTGACCCATAGCTCAGTATATCGCCAGCTACAGCTCGCGGTATACTGAGACCGCAGCAGCCAGGACGGATCCCGACATTACTGTCTAGATCCACCCAGCTGCGTGATTGACAGTTGGCTCTGCCTATCTAGAAACAGAGTCAGCTGTACCCACCCCCTCCCCTGTCCGTTCCACCAGTCAGCGCTGGAGGATCAGAGCAGGGAGGGAGGGAATTCCTGCAGGGGAGTGAGTGACATTCACGGCTCTCTGCAGGGACAGGATCGAGAAGTAAGCGAGCGACGGTATCTGTTCCCTCACTTCCCGATCTATTGAGCTGACCTGTGACCGTTTCATTGTCACATGTCGGCTCGAACTATGAGGGTGAGTGGAAATCACTCACCTCATAGTTCTCCTTCAACATATCATGTGGTTACCTGAAAAAATATGCTTTATGTTGCATGGATGAAATCACCTTAGATCTTCACTACTAGTAACTGCCAACTGTCAGTGATCATGTTGCTGCATGATAGCCAGACATTGTTCGGACAGAATAGGAGATTGTTTGAGGGCTTTAAAATGAACAAGTGACTTTACTAGTGTGCATTGTGTCAATAGGTAGACGATGCATGTAAAGGAGAGAAGGCACTATTTGATATAGTGAAGTCACTCCCATATTGCATACATAGATACTGTATATAGTCAGGTTGTAAAAGGCACCTGTCCAACAAAAACAATTCATACATAAAACCAACTTCTATTTTTAGAACCCTAAACACACAGCTGAGCCAGAGAAAGGAAAAAAAAAAAGTTGTGTTTCAACTTGCTTCAACATGGAAACAAAAATCCTTCCAATCCCCAAACAATATGGAATACTCCCTTGATCAATGGCATTTTTCATAAATATCAGTACCCATCAATATTTTGTGTCTGTAGAAAGATATACAGCCCATTAAATGTAATATACAATGCTGGCTAGAACTAGCTCCTGTGGAAGACCATTCCCCCATTTTCACAGCTCTTATTGTAGAATCCTTTCCTTATGTGGATGTTAAACCTCGTTTCCTGCACTCATGAAGGGTACTCCTTTTCTTTTCCAGTGACCTTAAAGTGAACGACATTCCACCAAATTTACTATATGGACCATTTATATTACCAATATGCTTAGTAACACTAAACTCAGGAGTTAAATCTTAAAAATCCATTCAAGTGCATCAACTATTACCAAAAATGTATCTTATTTGTGTATCACTCGGCTGTAGATCCTCCAATCATCTCTGAATTCATGCTGACGCTGTCCTTCCTTCTGGAGGGGGGTTACATTTGTTCCCCATGGACTCTGTGTGTGTTGGAAAGTAGTCACTGCTCCAAGCTTGCTCCTGTGATGGACTACAATCTCAGGTTTAGTTTACCAATATGTATTGGGATTGTTGTCCATCACGGGAGTGAGCTTGGAGAGGTGGCTACTTTACAACACACACAGGGACCATGGGGAACAAAAGTAGCCACCCTCCAGAAGGAAGGACAGTGCCAGCACCAATTCAGAGATGATTGGAGGATCTACAGCCGAGTGATAGACAAAATAAGGTCCAGCATTGTTAATAGTTAAGTTACTTGAACCCATTTTAATGATTGAACAACTCCTGAGTTTAGTTTCTCTTTAAACATATTTGTATATTGAACAACTCCTGAGTTTAGTTTCTCTTTAAACATATTTGTATATTGGCAATGTAAATTGTCCATATAGTAGATTTGGTGGAATGTTGTTCACTTTAAGGTGATTGGTACAGGAAAAGAGGTTTCAGAAGAAACACCCACCTGATTGTCGGTCCTGCAGTAGTGACTGCTTACCTCTCTCCCCTTTGCTCCGGCTGCGTCCTCACATCTAGTGCAAGTGAATGGACTGTATTAGATGTGATGCCATCAGCAGGGCTCAGACTGCTGGAGCCTGGGGGAGGGGGGAGAAGAGACTGTGGGGATAGGTTTAGCAGCCAAACTGGATTGAGGATATTTCTTTCATTTGAGCCCCTATAGAAAAGAGACGTTAACCCTTGCAGAGGTCACTGCAAGGGTTAACTTTTTTACATTCCTGTAGTCCCTCTTTAAACCACTTACTGTAAAAGACATATCAAGCTCACTTCTCGAACATGTCCCTGCAGAGAGTTGTGACTGTCACTCACGGCTCCCTGCAGGGATTCCCCCCCTTCCCGCTCCGATCCTCCAGCGCTGACTGGCGGAACAGACGGGTGAGGGGGCGGGTACAGCTGGCTCTGCCTCTAGATAGGCAGAGCCATCTGTCAATCACGCAGCTGGGTGGATCTCGACAGTAATGTCGAGATCCGTCCTGGCTGCGGCGGTCTTGGTATATAGTGAGCTGTAGCTCGCAATAAACTGAGCTTTGGGTGACGGGAGGACGCTAGTTTATGTCCTCCCGTGATCATGAGGAGAACTATGGGGAAAAACACTGACCCCATAGTTCTCCTTTAAGCTACTTTGCATATGTATACACAAGCATGACTGTCGTCATCATCCTTCATTCTTCTATTGATCAGCCTCCTGTCTTGTCTCTAGTTATAATAGGAATGTTTTACGAAGACAAAGAACGTCAGGACTTTGTGTTTACCATTTACCACTGGCTCCAAGCGCTCGCCATATTTATCGTCTACTTGTGGGCAGAGCTGCCAATGATGGTAAGAACATCTTATTTACATTTTATATACTAAATTCCATTCAGATATATTAAGGTGGGACTATTATTACCTATCTACATAACATAAGTTCACATAATATATTAGGGATGCACTGATACCAAGTATTTGGGCGAGTACTCGTACTGGCCCAAATGCTCTCCACGCCTATCCCTATACTGGAACTTCCAGTATCAGGAAGCCGGACAGCGAGTGATTACACGCTGCCCAGCTTCCTGATTGGCCTATCAGGAAGCCGGCTCCATGCTCTTTCGTCACCAGGGAGCATGGAGCCGGCCAATCAGGAAGCCGTGCGCTGTGTAAGGACTTACTGCTCAGCTTCCTGATTGGTCATTACCCGCCCCCTGGCTTCCTGATTGACCAGAAAGCTGGCTCCATGCTTCCTCGTCACCTGGTGATGAAGGAACATGGAGACGGCTTCCCTGCTAATCGGGAAGCTGGGTGGTGAATTATTACACACTTCCCGGCTTCCTTAATGGGACTTCCGGTATTCGGTATCGGCGGATAAAAATATCAGTACTCGAAACCGGTATCGGATCATCCCATCAAATTATGAAGATGCCTATATATATGGGGAGGACTTGGGTGGGCATTTCTAATATGATATGCTGAGCTGGAGTCCCTGAGTGGAAATATTTCACTATACAGGTATTGATCAGAGCAGGACCCATGTTATAAAGCTACCTGCTTCCTGTTCAGACCTGCAATCACAGCGCCTGGCAGAGGGAAGTCTTCCAACATCAACATCAAATTGCTTTGTGTCTCTGGGATGTCATATGCATCAAATGCCAAGGAAGGTGATGTTGGAAGATGTGAAAAGGTGTGTCCCAATAAACCATGTCTTTTAGGAACATCCACCTCTCAGCATGCCCACCAATCACTGTGGCACCATGGCACACATCGCATGGTACCCTTTCTATAGCCCTCAGAAATCTGTCCCTAGCATGAAAGGGCCAGTTTGTTCTCTTGGCCCCTTGCTAAGGTTTTAAGCCCCCTTTCCCCCAAGTTTACATGTTTGGGCAATGCAAGGGTTTGCATTAAGAAATGACAAGGGTGGTGTTGACCTACAGGATAGTGTTGTCTCTAAAAATGCAGATGCACTTTACAAAACGATATCCTCTTCCAATCCCTGTTTCTTTCATCATAGGCCAAACTTGGGATTATGCTGGCCTCAGCTCTAATTTCTGTACTGTCCTATCTCTGGATGGAACGTAAAATTGGCTCCAATGTGCTGCCACGCATCCCCAAGATCCCTGCCCCACGCCACAAGGTGAAGGGTTACCGCTACTTGGAAGAAGAGAACTCTGACGAGTCAGAGACAGAGGAGATGAGCGAAGATGGAGAACGTGAGCAATCTGGAAGTGAAGTAGAAAATGATGAAGGGGAGCAACCAGTTCGGCCCCTAGAGGAAGCACAATAAGCAAGAACAATGCTATGAGCAGGGAGTGGAGGAGGAGTGATGCGGTTCGGCCTCGTAAAGCTAGGCCTCACTTCTTTCATGCTTTTCTTTGCTGTCTGTTTTATTGGAAGGATTTCCCTTCTTTTCCTGTGTCAGAGATTCTACAGGAAGTGAGAGGAAAATTGTCACTGGAACGGGTGTTCCCACATAAAGATGTCCTGTTCTGGTTACAGTTATAACATTTTACATTTGCCATCATTTTCTCTCCTGCTATCAATGGTCACCAGAACAAACAGGTTCTGACTACTCTACTTTGTCCCCAATTAAAAAGTTTTGACCTTTAATATACTCTAACCTTGCAAAGTGGCACCATCTCGGAGTCAAAACATTTGGGTTTGAAACTCTAGTGCTAATTCCTTGGTGAGTTGTATTTCTGCACAGACCATTTTAAGGGTAATGTTGGCACTGGTACTGGAGTGATAGCTCAGTTGATGAAGGTACGGTTGAGGTTTAGGGTTGGTGTTTAGTTTAGGTATATTTAAGATTAGTGTAAAATTCCTACCAGTTTTTGGTTTTTTTAAATTCTTCTCTGTCTTTATTGGAGGGATTTTGCCTAACTTTACGGTACAGTCTTGTTTTCCTATTGACAAATATATCTAAACACAAGTCCAATAAGTGCTAATTAGTAAGTGACTCATTATCCTCCTCTGTGGCTGGAACATAATATTAGAACCTGGACCCATAGGACCTTTTGTTTACCTCAGGTGGGTTTTGCACCCCTATACAGGTCTATGAGAATGCAAAACCCGCTAACAGCAGGTCAAATATAGGCTAAAAGGAAGTAAAATGCACCCATTGGTTATTCTGAATGATCTCAGAAGCATCTCAAACTGCAGTCATTGACACAGGCCCTAAGGGTTATCGCTAGATGAGTGAGGTAATCACTTTTTGACTGACAGCTGACCACTTCCTATCAGAGAAGATTTTACCACTCAAGCACCACTTCCATCCAACAGCTGAACCATATACAAGTTTGAAGCAGATCCCGCGTCATGTAAACCATTCTAGAATAGGCAGGTGACTTACCATCTATTACCCTTGATAAGACATACTGTATGTCTAACTTTGGCCACTATTACTCCATGAAATGAGGATTACCATTATATGGTATGAACATTTTTTTGGAAGAGATTTTTTTTAGCGTTGTATTTTTGCACAATTGTACATGTGACATTGGCCCTAGGATCAATGCAATACCTTAGTGAAAAGCATTTGATTTCAGTTCTGGGGGTTATTCGGTTTCAGGGTTTAGGGGAATGTCCAAGTTTAAGCCCAACTCAAGTGTGTATATATATATATAGATATAGATGTACATTTTCTGTATATCTATATATATAGATATATATCTATATCTATATATATTATTTTTATTTTTTTAAGAGTTGGGAAGGGTTAGATACTCTGTTATTGCTGTTCATGTCCCTGTTGGGGAGATGTTCCTTAATTTCTTGTCAGGACAGGAAGTAAGGGGAGATTATTTATTGATGATAGAAATGTTAAAGGAGAACTATGGGGTTAAGGCTTTTCCCCATAGTTCTCCTTAGGGTAACAGGAGGACACAAAGTAGTGTCCTCCCGTCACCCTAGGCTCAGTATGTAGCTGTAGCTCGCGGTATACTGAGACGCCGCAGTATACCACGAGCTGCTGCTAGCGGTATACTGAGACGCCGCAGCTGAAGCGGATCCCGACAATTATGCCGGGATCCGCCCAGGTGTGTGACTGACAACTGGCTCTGCCTATCTAGAGGCAGAGCCAGCTGTAACCGCCCCCTCCCTCGTCCGTTCCGCCAGTTAGCGCTGGCGGATCGGAGCAGGGAGGGGGGAATTTAGCCCCTCCCCTGTCACGGCAGAGAGCCGTGACAGGATCGAGAGGTGAGCGAATGATGGTATGTGTTCGCTCACCTCCCGATCTACTGAGCCGACCTGTGACAGTCTCATTGTCACAGGTCGGCTAGAACTATGAGGTGAGTGAAAAGCACTCACCTCATAGTTCTCTTTTAAGTCTTTCCCACTCTATCCATATGTTAAAAACAGAATGGCGGGAGTTCGGCTTTTATATAGGTATTATATATAATGTCAGCGCTGGCGGATCGGAGCGGGGAGGGGGGAATTCAGCCCCTCCCCTGTCACAGCAGAGAGCCGTGACAGGATCGAGAGGTGAGCAAATGCCGGTATGTGTTCGCTCACCTCCCGATCTTCTGAGCCGACCTGTGACAGTCTCATTGTCACAGGTCGGCTAGAACTATGAGGTGAGTGAAAAGCACTCACCTCATAGTTCTCCTATTAAGTCTTTCACACTCTATCCATAGGTTAAAAACAAAATGGCGGGAGTTCGGCTTTTATATAGGTAGTATATATAATGCTTTACTTCTAGACCACGTGTCAAACTCAAGGCCCAGGGGCCATTTCCTAGACTTCTACTTTCAGATCTAGGTATTAAGTTATTACTAAAACCAGTGATAATCCAATGCAGAGACAATTATGATAAAGATTAGATACATTGAAATAGTCTTACAGATACCTTTGAGGGCAACCATAACGTTGATGCGGCCCACAATTGAATTGAGTTTGACACCCCTGTAATCTAGACATTAAGAAGGTGAGAATAATGTGCTGGTTGACCAAAGGTGCATGCTAGCTAATCCTAGTGTCACTTGCGTGCTTAAAGTGAACCTTTACCCACTTTTACTACATCAGCATTCAGCTCTGCATACTGATATGAAATCATCGTACATTTATTAGTTAAAATGACATTAAAGTAAAAAAAAAATGTTTCCCTCCCCCCAATGTTAATGTCAGCACTTACCTTAAATGATGTCTCTTAATCCGATCTTCTTCTTTCCTGATGTTTTCATCTGTCCCTCCAGCGTTGCTGTGGGTCTCCGATCCAGCGCTGACTCCTCTGTCCTTGCTGGCACTACCTGTCCCACAGTGTCTGCATGCGGCTGCACTTACCATATACTTACCTTGTGTCTCTGCTCGTCTCCCGGCCAAAAATCCGAACTACACATGCGCCCGCCCCAAGAAGCTATGCGGCTGCCCGAGAATTTTCAGATTTTCGGACGGGAGCGCGCGGGGAAGACAGCGGTAAGTTTAAACCGCTTTTCAAGCTTTTTTTTTGCATATATCTACTGCTTGCTAGCCTCATATATGCAAAAACACCGGAGGGTTTAATAACCCTTTAAACATATTTCTCTTTTACTTACAATTACTATTTTTCCACTTCCCGGTCCTCTTAGGCACTATTGATGCAGCCCATGCCTAAGAGATGCATCATGGGAGGGTTGTGTAAACTGCACAATCTTGGGAAAGGCCTGAAGTTTGGTTTTTAACATAATTACATTCTTGCAAAAGAAAGTTGTTATTTTTTCCTCTTCAGATCTATAACATACCAGATAAATTTTAGTGTGAGCTGTACCTATCCTACCTCAATACAATGTAGCACAATTATAAGCAGAATATATGGTCGTTATATGTACCGGTAGTTGGGGATTATCCATTCAAGTTAAGATAGGTTCCTGTATATCGGCTTTGGCCATATACATTTCCAATCAAATTTAAGAGTCAGACATAATTGATCCACATGTTTCAGTCATGCAGAGAAGAACAGGAGTAGTCACATCATAACTGTGTACACTTATCTGTTCTTACGAAGTTCGCAGGACAGTTGGTGACCATTTTGTTCAGTCTAAGCAATCACAATTTTCCACAGCGATTGGTCGTGTATGGGCACATTAAAGGGGATGCACACCTCAAGGCTGGAAGTCTTCGAAGTGTATTTTCCTTAAAGGAGTTTTCAGTTTTTGGGTGGATCTCCTTTTTTTTGTATAACGACCCGAAGAATGTTAAATGTTTTTGCTATCTGTATAGTCTAGAAATATATATAAAGTAGGTTTCTGCTTACGATATTTTTCATTGTGTATTTTTTTTAAATCAGATTTAATATAAACGTTTAAATCATGTTTGTTTTATATATTGTAAGATGGACTTATTAATAAAACCGACATAAATAAAAGTTGAATATCACTTCATTTCTTGCGTATAATAAGATGCATCTGAATGTTCAACGGCACCAGAGAGTGAAAGGAAAATACCACTTTTATTAAAAAACTAATATACATACACTCTCTGCTTTTTATATCTATGTTCATATATTTTTGTATATTGTTATCTCCCTTCTAATAATAAAAATGTCTATTACTAAAAAAAAAAATTAATATAGTATATAAAATCACTACTCAAACCATTATGTCATTTAATGTTATTAAAAATTACCTTTTCATTTCCCACTGGGTAGAATAATTCTCTCTAATTGTGCCGTGATCATTATCATTTAGAATTATCACCAGAACAAGCGGTGACGGGTGGCAACTGACCAAAAGAGAAATTCCCCTCACTTTTATAGATGGTTCTCACTTCCTGTTGCTTCTTTGGGACAGGAAGTAAAGGGGTAATCGCCCTAATAGGATGCAGGGGACTGAATGGCTTTACCCTTTCCTCACTCTAGCCAAAAAAATGTGTGCAGGCCAGTCAAGTTCCTCCACCCCAAACTCCCCCATCCATGTCTTTATGGACCTTGCTTTGTGTACTGGTGTGCAGTCATGTTGGAACAGGAAGGGGCCGTCCCCAAACTCCTCCCACAAAGTTGGGAGCATGAAATTGTCCAAAATGTCTTGGTATGCTGATGCCTTAAGAGTTCCCTTCACTGGAACTAAGGGGCCAAGCCCAACCCCTGAAAAACAACCCCCCACCATAATCCCCCCTCCACCAAACTTTACACTTGGCACAATGCAGTCAGGCAAGTACCATTCTCCTGGCAACCGCCAAACCCAGACACGTCTATGGGATTGCCAGACAGAGAAGCGTGATTGGTCACTCCAGAGAACACGTCTCCACTTCTCTAGAGTCCAGTGGCGGCGTGCTTTACACCACTGCATCCAACGCTTTGCATTGCACTTGGTGATGTAAGGCTCGCTCGGTCACGGAAACCCATTTCATGAAG